CTCGTTACAGCAGGATGGATTCTGATTGGCTGTCGATTTTTTTTATCGTTCATCAGCTGGGAAAAAATCGTTTTGAAAGTGATTCCAACGATATCGTTTCTCTTTGTCTTTATCGTTATAGTTGTGGTGTGGACTCTGCTATTCTTTAATATTGAGAACGATTTTTAGAACTATATCTTTATCTTTATCTTTATAGTTATCGTCCTTGGTGTGAACGGGCCTTTAGTCAACTATTAGGGGGCAGCCTTAGCCTCATGAAACAAAAACATTACCTTCCCTAAATCTCTCAAGATCTGACCAGAGGATGACTAACAACTCCACAAACAGCATTACCGGCTGTTTATTACAACCCAGTTTGACTTTATTACTTTCATGTCTACAAAACTTCACCTCTGCTGTTTCTGCTGTACATGGTGATATTCTATTTCCCATTAGTCTTTTTCTTTAATCTTCATTGGCCGGATTCACGAAAATCTTCTTAAGAAATAAGTTAAGAAATTTCTTAAGAACATTCTTACGAACTTCGTGGAATTTATCTTAAGTGCAATGCTTGAAAAATTCTTAATAAGTCCTCAAATATATTCTTAAGAACATCTTAATTTTTTTCTTAAGAAGAAAATAACAGTTGTTATCTGAGTGAATACATGACACACTGATAAACTCACACTTTATTGTCTTTTTGCACTTTCTGCAGATTACCCTAATAATCATAATAAGCACGCACATTATTCTCGCCACGAGTCTGACTGGCACTCACCTTCACGTTTTAATGCGGCGTGTTTTTGAACAGTTACTTTTAAAATAGCCTGTCTCAAGCTGCAGCAATATGTTTAGTTCATTTTTATGCTGTGTTTTTGCACTCTCATCTGAGTGAACGCTTCCGGTATGCATGTCCGCGCTGCTACAGCAAACGCGTCCTGCGCATTCATGTGCGCTGAATACTGCCAAAGATTGTCATATTTATAAGCTAAAATTAAAAGCGTTCAATTAAAGCTCCCTAACTGACTTGTTTTAGAGTTGCTACTGAGTTTTGAAGTCATCTAAAGTAGTGTCACACAAAGGCTAATCATGACCGATCATTGTCATGAATCTTGGCCAAACAGTTGATCTCACCTTCAAAACTCACTCAGACCAACAAAACACTTCATGTATGTGTCAAAATAAGCTTGCTTCACCATAACACTAGCCAGAATTATCATTCAGAAAACATACATTTCATTCATAACACACTGATCTAAAAACAATAACAACAAGGAGCATTACATAAACTATGAACTTTTATCTTTGAAGTTTGAATGATTTTGGACCAATTGGACCAATCAGACACACAACTATTTGTTATATTTAACAAATAATATCTAATGCCCCCTCACCTAACCAAAGGGCCAACTATGAGGGTCTATGGACCCTTCCCCCGAAATGCAACTAACACCTCAAAAGGGCAGAACAGGCCTCTGGTTTCATGGCAACTAAAGACAAACCATCTGATAACACTAGTTTTATTGCTCAAATGAATGCA